CCTAATGCCATGGGTACAGGACCACAGTGCCCAAACCCACCCAAAGATATGCCACAACTTCCACTGCCATGGAGAGATGTGCTACCAGGAAGCAGTTCTCCAACCAGATGGCAGAGTGCAGATCTGGGGAGCATCACTGTGAGGTGCGGGGTGGGGGCTATGATGGGATCCCCGACAGTGTTTCTTGGAGGTGAAGGGACTAGAGGGGGCCACTGGGAGGGGGACTGATGTTCAGATACAGTAAGTTGCTGGGAAAAGAGACTGAAGCAGGAGGGAGAGAGTCAGCATTTGGGATGCTGGGAGAAGTGGAGATGTGGCCCAGGTCTGGATATCCCTCCATCCTCCTGAGCCTGTCTGCTCTCTCTATGCAGCTGATTCAACTCAATGCTTCCCACTACATGGCCCAGTGCAGCCTCAGTTGCGAGGGGGGAAATGAAACCCATCCCAGCCCTTGCCTGCTGTCCAACAACTCGGCACCTAGCCCCAGTCCCTGCAGGCTGCAGTGCTGCAGTGGAGGGACACTACCTGGCACTCAGTGAGTCAGCAGCGGGTGAGGCAACCCCACCCTTGATGCTTAGCCCTGCCCCAACAACCTGCAGCTTTGAACCCACCACCCCAACTCTGACTTCCAATCCTACTGACCCATAAGCTCAGAACCCTCCTGCCCATTAACCCCCCAACTCTGAACCTCACCTCTGAAAGGCCCTCAAATCTCAGCTTGATTTTCATTAGTCCCCCAACCTCTATGTACATTCCTAGCCTTGTCTGACCCCCTACTTTTGAGGTTTTTCCTCCTCATTGACTCCCCAAGTCTGAGCTCTCTACCTTCAGTGCCCTAGCCACCCCAGGTTCCCCCTCCAAAAATGCTTACCTTTTCCCAGCCCATCCAGGGCTCCTCACCCTCCCGGGCTCCAAGGAGGCCTGGAGTAAGCAACTGAGGTTGGCCAGGGTGGCAACAGGAGGATGTGTGAGGTAGTGAGCTGCCTCCCAACTAGATGTGCTCCCTCGGGGCAGAGTGGAGGTTGGGGCTTTGCCCAGGTGTCACAGTACTTCCCAGGCAGCCCTGCTCTGTTCCCAGATCTAGGCCCTCTGATTGTTCCAGAGGACAAGCTGCTTTCCATTCCATCCCAGCTGACCACCACCTTGACAGACCCCGAGAGAAAGGTGAGTGTCTCATTCCCATCTGCCTGCTCTGGGAAGTGGAGTCCAGAATGGACAGCGTGTGGTGGGCTGGGACCAGTGGCATGGGCACGATGGGCTCTAGCCTGGTTTCTGTCCAGCATTCACCCCCTGTTCAGTCTGCACAGAGCACCCCACTCCTCAAAACTCCTCCTGCTTTTTCTTCCAGGAGAAAATCTGTGGCACCTTCTCCTACCAAAGTGGTGGCTGCTTCAAAGGGCAGGAAGCTGTGGCTCTGTGCCCTGAGGGCTTGTACTTCTGTGAGGTGAGCCCTGGGGTACTCCCAGGATTGGGGTGCTTCCCGCCCTCAGAGCTGCAGGCCTTTTCCCTCCCGCCTGGAAGGGGTAACCCAGCCGGTATTTCGGGCTGGAGCTAGACATGCTGAGAACCAGGTTCCTTGGGGTCTAGCAATCTTGACCCCCTCGGCTCTGCATGATACCAAAAGCCAGGCAGCAGTTGGAGTCTTCCATACCTCCAATGACATGCTCCCTTGTTTCTGACTATTCGCTAGGGACTTACTGACCATGGGGAGGGAGCTAGGGGCCAAAGGAGGTTCAGCTCCACTCACAACCCACTGAACAGTTTCTGCCTCTGTGAGTGGAGGAGTGGGGCAAGGGGAAGACGAATGGTCCCTTCTCTTCTTGTAGCTGAAATGGTCCAGCTCAGCCTATAATGTGGGCTGCAGTCAGGTCTGTGAGGCAGGGATCCCCAGGTGTCACTGGGCTGTGACTTAGCCCTGTGCAGTCAAGCCTTGACCTCAGGCAGCTGCCTCCAGCTGGATGGGAACCTTCACTTTAACCAGGTGGCCCCAGGGGCTGCCAGGAGTCCCTGCACTGTGCTCTCACTGCGAGCCAAGCTGCTGCTCCTTCACTCTGCCCTGCTCCCCTAGCTGGGCCCAGCAGAATCAGGGAGCAAAGGCCAAGAAGATCCTGTAAGCCCTGCAAGCCTCCAGACCCACCCCCAGTTCTGACACCTGTAATTGTATCTTTTTTTTTTTTTAGTTGGAGTCTCACTCTGTCGCCCAGACTGGAGTGCAGTGGCCGCTCCTGGCCACCGCAGCCTCGACCTGCTGGGCTCCGGCGATCCTTCCGCCTCAGTCTTCCAAGTAGCTGGAACTACAGGCGCGCACTACCACACCCAGCGAATTTTTTGATTTATTGTAGAGATGAGGTCTCGCCAAATTGCCCAGGTGGGTCTCGAGCCCGCGAGATCAGGCAATCCACTCACCTCAGTCTCCCAAAGGAGCAGGATTACAGGCTGAGCCACCGAGCCCGGCTTGTAATTGTATCTTTAGTAAAAGGGACTTGTCCAGTCTACAGCTCTGGGTTCAAGTCTCCTCACTTCTCCCCTCCCAGGACAAAGAGAAGACAGAGTATGTCTGGAAAAACAAAACCTCCTGCCTGATCCCCAAACCAGTGGGAGGATCCCCAAATCCTGCAGGGACAGTTTCTTCATCTGTAAAGAGCATCCAGCCCCAGCCTCTTTTCCACACCCTCCTCCTCAGGCTTTGGAGTTGGGGTTCTCCTGCTTTCCTGCAGCGACCTCCACTCCTTAATCTCTAAGGGTCTGAGTCATTCCCCTTTATCCTCAGCCTCCATGTGACTTTGAAACTGAATTTAAATAAACATGAGCTCTACTTGTGCTGTGGATGTTTCCAGGAAAAGGAGAAGACTGGGGGAAGGTGCTTTCTGTTTCTGGAAGGGTCTGACAAAGTTGAACTGATCAGCTGCTTTGCTTAGGGAAAGATGAGGGAGAATGGGCAGAAGTCACAGAGACACCCTTTTCCAGCACCAGCCTGTTTCTTCAGTTTGGGTCAAAGCTTGAGAGAAGGTGTATTTAAAAGAATTCATGCTGAGCGCGGTGGCTCATACCTATAATCCCAGCACTTTGGGAGGCCGAGGTTAGAGGATTTCCTGAACCCATGAATTCGAGACCAGTCTGGGCAACTTGGCAAGACCTCATCTCTACAATAAATCAAAAAATTAGCTAAGTGTGGTGGCATGTGCCTGTAGTTCCAGCTACTTGGAAGGCTGAGGCAGAAGGATTACCTGAACCCAGCAAGTCGAGGCTGCAGTGGCAGTGAGCATGCCACTGCACTCCAGCCTGGTTGAAAGGTTGAGACTCCAACTAAAAAATAATAATAATCATAAAATAAAAAATAAAATAATTCATTATGTAATTGACTAACTCCATGAATGTGTTCTGAGGGCCAACTGTGTGCCAGAAACTGCTGGGGTGAGGAGGAAAAGGCACAGCCCTGTCCTCAGGGAGCCAACAGGCTGAAGGGCACGGTCCTAGCATCCCCTTTCTGAATTGGGCTTTTTTGTTCATCTAGGGCAACCTCCTTATCTTGGATGGGGAAATTGAGGCCCAAAAGTCAAAAGGTCTTGGCCAAGGGCACGTGGCCAGATGAGTCAGGGGAAGACACTGCCACACAGGAACAGTGTCACACACTTTACAAAGTGCGTTCACATACAAGATCTTCCAACAGTCTCATGTAGCAGGAGGACCAGTGGGGTTGAGGAGGGCATATGGCAATATAAATGGCCCAGGAGTTGAGATTAGATTTTTTGCAGAGCCCCAGTGTCGCCACTTGCTAGCTACGAGACCTCTGTCAAATTGCTTACCCTCTCTGAGCCTCAGTTTCTCTGCCTGGAAAATGGAAGTAATGGTTCTTTATAGTTTTGCTATCCCTCCATTAAGCTAGAATGGGGGGATGAGTTTCAGTGGAGGTCAGAGCCGTCTCTCCTGGGGTGAGAAGAACTGAAGATGGAATTAATTAGAAAATAAAAATGCATGATTTTCTTTCCTTGAGGTAAATGTGACCATCTTCCTTCTGGGTGGGGAGCTCTGGCTTCACGACTTACAGGGCTCAGGATGGGGATTAGGGCACCCATTAGAAAACCTTTCCAGAATAGAAAGCCCAGTGAGCCCCAGGATCTAAGGGGTTAATGGGGGCGGGAGACGCCCTCCCCCCACATTGATTAGGGCATGCTGGGACTTGCAGGCAGACGGCCCGTCCAAGCGCAGGGGCCGCTGGGAAACGTAGTCACTTGCCTAATCCGGAGCTTTGGTGTCCCGCGCGCCCAGTGGTGACAGCTCCGGAGGTAGGCGGCAAAGGCAGGGGCTGCGGGCGGGTGTGAAGAAAGAAAGACAGCGCAGGACTGCGTAGGAGGGAGTGGGCAAGCTGAGGGTTGGGACCCCTCCCCTGCGGCCCTCAGACCGGATCCCCCCTTCCCCCCAACAACCCCCGGTTTGCGGCTGATGCAATGGGCCTGCTGGGTGGAGTGAGGGGCAAGGAGAAACAGGATGCTTTTTCTGTCTCCAAGGAAAGAGGAGCAGGACTGGGACTCTCCCTTCCTGAGAGTAAGGAGTGTTTTTCCCACCCCCACACGGACAGCCACTGACACCTCCCAGAGAGGCACCAGGAGAACAAATACTGCTCTCGTCAAAAGAGGGACAGAGCAATGGGACCAGGTCCCATTTTCCAAAAACAGGAATAGACACCCACTTCCAACAATAGAACGGACCCACTCAAGAATAACCAGATGTTCTCCCAGACAAAGGGAGGTACAGCAAGCTGGAGATCCCATCAGGGACAAAGGGACTGCGCCCCTAGCCCTGGAAACTTTAAAAGGACTATTCTAGGGAGGAGCAAGAGAAGGAGGAGGATCAGGCTTCCCTTGTACCTTCTCCCTCATAGAGACCTCTCCTTCCCAACCCCCCACCCAGACAGCTCCATCACCTTATGGGTAACATGTTGATCAAAGGGGGCTTCCATCTGCTCTGCCCCAGGGTGTGTGCGCTCAGCAGGGGCCAGCATGGACCAGTCTGTGGCAATCCAGGAGACCCTGGCTCAAGGGGAATACTGCATCATCATATCCTTCCCTGTGCTGAGCTCCCAGCCCTGGGCCTGCCCTGACTGTGGGAAGAGGAATGGAAGGCGTGTGAGGTGTCTGACCCTCTCCTCCCTCTCTCTGAGCCCTTGCAAGAGAAGGAAACCAGTATTTACTAAGTACTTACTGAGTCCCTAAACTCTCTGTCAGGAGCTTTAAATAGGCAGTTATCCTCCCAACACCCTATGAAGTTTGGGGTTAGTATCCCCAACTAAAGATGAGGAAGACTCAGAGAGGTGAAGTGACTTACCCACGGTCACAGAGTGAATTTGGAAGGCAAGGGCAAGGAGGGATGGTGGGGCAGGTTGGGTTGGGGGAGGCCTGGCCTCCGGGTTCGTTTTCCCTTGACTCTGAGCTGCAGGCGGTGCAAGGTGTGCTGTGTGAAGGGGACAGCCGGCAGAGCCGCCTCCTGGGCCTTGTGCGCTACCGCCTGGAGCATGGTGGCCAGGAACATGCGTGAGTGAGGGGCTCTGTCCTGCCTCTCTGGGCTGTGGGGTTATTCTTCACTGTAACCTCCAACTGTACTTCAACCATTCCTCCAGGCCAGATCTGAATCCTCTAGAATTATTATCATAATGACAGTTAAGTTGTTTTTTTTTGGGGGGGGGTTTGTGTTTGTTTTTTTTTTTGAGTCAGAGTCTCACTCTGTTGCCCAGGCTGGAGTGCAGTGGTATGCTTACGGCCACCCCAGCCTCAACCTGCTGAGCTCAGGTGATCCTTCTGCTTCAGCCTTCCAAGTAGGTGGAACTACAGGCATGTGCCACCATGCCCAGCTAATTTTTTTGTAGAGATGAGGCCTTGCCAAGTTGCCCAAGCTGGTCTCGAACCCGTGGGCTCAGGCAATCCTCTCACCTCAGCTTCCCAAAGTGCTGGGATTATAGGTTTGAGCCACTGCACCCGGCTGATGGTTAACATTTGGGGGTTTGGATACATTGGCTTACACCTGTACTCCCAGCACTTTGGGAGGCCAAAGCAGGAGGACTGCTTGCAGCCAGAAGTTTAAGAACAGCCTGGGCAACATAGCAAGACCTCGTCTCTACAATAAATAAAAAAATCAGCCAGGCATTGTAGTGTGTGCCTGTAGTCCTGCTACTTGGAAGGCTGAAGCAGAAGGGTCTTGAGCCCAGCAGGTCAAGGTTGTGGTAGCTGTGAGCATGCCACTGCACTCTGACTAAGGTGACAGAGTGAGACTTAGCCTAAAAAAAAATTTTTGTTTTTGAACACCATATTCTAAGTCCTTCACATATATTAATTCATATAATCCTCATGTGAGCAGGAAGCTACTTTTTTTTTTTTTTTTTTTGAGTTGGATTCTCACTCACTTGCCTGGGCTGGAGTGCAGTGGCATGCTCACAGCCACCCCAGCGTTGACCTGCTGGGCTCCTGCGATCCTTCTGCCTCAGTCTTCCAAGTAGCTGGAATTATAGGTGCGCACTACCGCACCTGGCTAATTTTTTATTTATTGTAGAGATGAGGTCTCGCTAAGTTGCCTGGGCTGGTCTTGAACCTATGGGCTCAGGCAATCTTCTTGCCTCGGCCTCCCACAGTGCTGGGATTACAGACTGAGCCACCAAAGCTTCTTGAGAAGAGACAGTTTCACATAAATCCAGGATTTGTTACTGACGAGCTACACGATCTTGGGCAAGTTGTTTGGTTCCTCCATATGTCACTTTGTCCAGATTAAAGATTAAAGTGGGGCCAGGCTCGGTGGCTCAGCCTATAATCCCAGCCGAGGCGAGTGAATTGCCTGAGCCTGCAGATTCAAGACCAGCCCAGGCAACTTGATGAGGTCTCGTCTCTACAATAAATCAAAAATTAGCCGGGTGTGGTAGCCCACGCCTGTAGTTCTGGCTACTTGGAAGGCTGAGGCAGAAGGATTGCCAGAGCCCAGCAGGTTGAGGCTGCGGTGGCTGGGAGTGTACCATTGCACTCCAGTCTGGGCAACAGAGTGAGACTCCAACTCAAAGAAAAAAAGATTAAAATGAGTTAGCACATGTAAGATGTTTTAAATACCACAAGGCACATAGAAAGTGCTAGATTAATGTTTCCTGGTAAGACCTGCATATCACACAGAAGCAGAGACAGGGTAAATAATACTTGCCAAAGGTTTCAGAACTGGAAAGTGAACCTTGGGGTCTCAGAGCCTGGAGGGAGGGGGCCTTAGACATTTTCTAATCCACTTCCTTAATTCTATAGATAGGGGAACTGAGATTCAGGGAGAGAAGGGGACATTTATCGTTGTCCTGTTTCTGTCCCACGCAGTGCTAGAATGCACCATGGACAGATCAAACATATGTTTCTTTTTTTTTTTTTAAGTTGGAGTCTCACTCTATTACCCAGATTGGAGTGCAGTGGCACACTCACGGCCACCGCAATCTCAACCTGCTGGGCTCAGATGGTCCTTCCACCTCAGACTTCCAAGTAGCTGGAACCACAGGCATGTGCTACCACACCTGGCTAATTTTTTTATTTATTGTAGAGATGAGGTCTTATCATGTTGCTCAGGCTGGTCTTGAACCCCTGAGCTCAGATAATCCTCTTGCCTCCACCTCCCAAAGTGCTGGGATTACAGGTGTGAGTCACTGCATCCAGCCCAAGCATGTGTTTCACTAAGGAAGCAGGGGCTTCCCCAAATGAGAAAATGTCAGGTTTGATGACCTCATTCATAAAATTGTAGTCTCTGATGGGCACTGTGGACAGAGATGGCATGAGGATGTGCATAGCCAGGTCACCACCAGCATAGTGCTAGAAATCAAGAGGGAGTGTAAGCACCTCAGGGCCTCCAAGATGGGCCTGAGGGACAGCCAGTGGCCCCATCCTCACCTCTGCTTCCTGCCCTTAGTCTCTTCCTGTATACGCACCGGAGGATGGCCATTACCGGGGATGATGTCTCTTTGGACCAGATAGTGCCAATCTCGCGGGATTTTACGCTGGAAGAAGGTGCCACAGGTGGCTGGGTGGTATGAATCCCTCTCTTCCGGGTCCCCCAGGTCATCTCTGTCCTTGTTGGGGAGCCAGTGGGAGTAAGACTGAGGCTGAGGCTGAAGTGTTCAATTGCTAAGGGCCTTCTCGTTTCCATTCCACAGTGCCCCCAGATGGTGAACGCTACATCCTTGGTGAGTGGTCCTCTCAGTCTGGGTCCCACTTGGGGCATGGGGTACAGGATCTTCAGAGAGAGAAGAAAAATGTGAAGTAAGAGCGCCCCCAACACCCTTACTGTGGCAAGTTAGACCTTGCAGGATCAGGTCCACCTCTATGGACTCATCTCCCATCACTCTCTTCCTTGCCATCACCCCAAACATACATGTTCTCCTCATGGAGCCCCTGCACATGCTGTTTCCCCCTCCTAAAAGCCTCATGTCTCTTTTCATTTAGCCAACTTCTACTCATCCTGTAGGGCTTCCAGTTGTGCATTTCTCTTCCCAGGAAACCTTTGTTGAACCCCCGAAATTGTATCTCATTGATGATACACATGCCTTTTTCTCATCCTTGCCATCCCTCTGTCACTCACAGTGATTCAATTACTCATACTGATGAATTTAACGTCTGTCTTCTTTGTTAGACAATAATGATGGCAGGAGCAAATGTTTAACTGGTGATTATCTTGTGCCAGACACTATACTAAAAGTTGTACATCCATCATAACAGCCTTTTCTCACAGCAATTCTATGAAGTTGTCACTGTTTTCATTCCCATTTTATGGACAAGGTAATTAAGGTCCAGAGAAAATAAATAATTGGGTGGAACCAGGATTCAAACTCAGAGCCCAGACTCTGGAGCACACACTCTTTTTTTTTGTTTGTTTGTTTGAGTTGGAGTCTCACTCTGTCACCCAGGCTGGAGGGCAGTGGCATGCTCCTGGCCACCGGAGCCTCGACCTGTTGGGCTCCAGTGATCCTTCTGCCTCAGCCTTCCAAGGAGCACACACTCTTAATCACTGTGCTAGGTGGCCTCTGCTCATTCCTTAGCTCAGCACATGATTTTGAGTAGTCACCATGTACCTGGTACTGGGGATGAGTTATGAATAAGGTGCCTTCCACAGTCTAGCTCCCTGAGACAGGTCATATCTATTCTTTTCCCTGTGGTATTCCTTGTGCCTGGCATAGTGCCGGGCACAGTCAGGTGGACTGACTGGCGGACAGCCCTTCTTGTCTGCCTCTATGTGCTCTTCATTCCAGTCAGAGGGGAACAGACTACAAGTCAGAAGACCTGTTCTCCTCCAGCCCCATCTAATTCTGAGGTGGAGGCTTACTGACTTTCCTGAGCCTTGGCCTACCTCCTCTATAAAGTGGGGATACTGTTAATTTGGAACTGAGGGTACATTTCCTTATTGTCCCAACAGTAGCCCCAAGTGAATTGTTTAAGGGCTGAAGGGGCTTTGGGAGCTTGGGCTGCTGATTCTCCGTTCTGGGACTCCAGCCTTAAGATGCATCAAGCACTTAGCACTTGGCAGCCAGGGGTTCATTTTTTGCCTCCTTTGTGCAGGCTCAGATGTGACCATTCAGCTGGACACAGCAGAGCTCAGTCTCGTATTCCAACTACCCTTTGGTTCACATACCAGGATGTTCCTCCAAGAAGTCGCCAGGGCCTGTCCAGGTAGGTAGACCTCAGGTTCCTTCAGGGAGGGAGAGGTTGACTGGGCACTTACCTGCCTACTCCAGTTGACTTTCTACCCTTTGGACTCACTTTCTACAGTTTCTGTATCCTTTCAAAGCTTCTGGCGTGAAGCCATACTGCCCCCAGGCTGCCAACCAACTGTGGTGTTTGCTATTCTGTTTACGATTTCTGGACTTGAGTGTTAACTACAGCAGGGCCCCTTTGCCCTCCGGGCTGTGGGCAGGGCTGCAAGGGTGAGCTGTGACTGTTGCAGAATCTCTTACAAACTGGCAGAGTCAGTAACTTCTAGAATCCCATCTTCCCTTTCCCTGCCACTCACAACTAGAGCCCTCGAACCCTGCTCTATTCCCCACTGCAGCTGGTCTAGCTTTGGGTTAGCAGTGAGAGAATTTGTGTAGACTTGAGAATCAGCCAGACAGGTATAGAAGAGGTAGTGTACAAAGCAGAGGATTGGTCACAGAACTTGCAAATTCCAGGTGCATGTGCTTATCTGGGCTTATGCGCTTACCCAACACTTTTTGTTGTTTCCTTTCAAGCTAATATCTTGTGTCTGTGGGAACAGGGGGAGGGCTTGCCTTCTTTGTGGGCTCACTGTGGAGACTGAACCTCCAGAAGTTTCACCTTGTTTCACTTGGTGTGCCAGGAAGGATACTAGCTTTGGACACAAACTGGGATATGAGGGAAAGGAAGTAGAAACAGTCAGGCATGGTAGCTTGTACCTATAGTCCCAGCTTCTCGGGAGGCTGAGGTGGGAGGATCACTTGAGCCCAGGAGTTTGAGGCTGCAGTAAACTATAAGCATGCCATTATACTCCAGCCTGGACAACAGTATAAGATCTCATCTCTAAAAAATAAACATAGACTGGGTGCAGAGGCTCATGCCTGTAATCCTAGCACTTTGGGAGCCCAAGGCAGGAGGATTGCTTCAGTCCAGGAGTTTGAGACCAGCCAGGCATCATAGCAAGACCTCGTCTCTACAGAAAATTTTAAAAATTATCTGGGCGTGGTGATACATGCCTGTAGTCCCAGCTACTCTAGAGGCTGAGGCAGAAGGATTGCCTGGGTTCAGAAGGTCAAGGCTGCAGTGTGATGTGATTGTGCCATTGTACTTCATCCTTCAGAGTAAGACCTCAACTCAAAAATAACCATATAAAAATAAAAAATAAGCCGGGCTCGGTGGCTCAGCCTGTAATCCCGCGCCTTTGGGAGGCTGAGGTGAGTGGACTGCCTGA